GGAAGCCTGCTTCTCCCTCTCCCACTCCCCCTGCTTGTGTTCCCTCTCTCGCTGTGTCTCTCTCTGTCAAATAAATAAATAAAATCTTTAAAAAAACACCACACACAAATAAACAAGGAAATATTCACTAACTTGTGTAGTCCTGCTTTAAAGATTCAGAAGAGGATGGGGGTTTTTTAAAATGGAAGAAATTTGAAAGATTTTTTTATTATAACTTTTGTTACTATTGTGACTGTTGAATTCAAAAGTGTTTTACAGTAAATTCTGGATTTTAAAAGTTGAAGTTTGGCCAAAGACTAACATAAATATTGATAAACTGTATTTTCTCTCCTTAGTATTGGACCAAGTACAGACCTTTCTCCCACAGATGGCTCAGGCAAATGAAAAGCTAAGAAAAGAAATGGCAGCCGCACCACCTGGTCGTTTCAATATTGAAGATATTGATGGGGCTCTTGGAAAAGTTATACAAATGGTAATGATGCTTTGTTTTCATTTCATAAATTAAAATTACCAGTACGCCTCATCATCTATAAGGGAGAGGACTTTTCCGTTTTAATTCAAGTGATATTTTCCTTCTTGCAGAGTCAGCTCATGTTTCCAATATTGCATGGGAACTTGTTCATTTTATAATTAGGGATCTTACAGATCAGTAGGCTTCCCTGAGTGGAGTTTAGGAATTTAGAAATAGAGAAGAGGAGGAGGGCTTTTTCAAGTCAAATATTACATTTGTTATCTTGAAGCATTAATTTACTATGTGTCCCAAGTGGATTGTGTTTTCCTAAAAGAAGGCCTGAAAGAAGTAATCATAACCTGACTCACTGAAGATGTAAAAATAAATGATGCATTTAACAGACCGATAACCTAAGCCACATGGGAGATCTCCAGCCGGCCTCAGATCTTCTTTCTATACCGGAGTTCCCTTTATAACACTAGGGTCTGGACAGAGCTGATATTGTTGGTAGTAGTATCTCATTCATCGGCAGCTCTGGTCAGCTCTACCTCCAGGGTATGTCCCAGATCCAGCGACTCTGCACGATGTCCCAAGGCTGCCAGCCTTGGTCCACATCATCGTGGTCTCTCCTGTGGACTCTTGCAGTGATTTCTCCACAGGTTCCCCTGCTTCTGCCTTTTCTCTCCTAGCATCTGTTCTTCACACTAGGTGTGGCCCACGTTCCCCTCACAGTTCTGATGAATTCAGAGTCCTTCGAGGGCCCGTGTGATCCTGCCTCCAGCTCCATCTGACTTACCTGCCACCGCACCCCTTCTTTCCTGCACTCCCATTCAGTCTCCTTCAGGTTTTTCCCCTCTTTGTACGAGGCTCTTCCAAGATTTCTGCATCTTCACTCCCTCCATCTCTCATCGGTTGCACCGCAACAAGAGGCCTTCCCTGATGGCCCTATTAGAAGCTTATCCTCTCCTGCTTTACTTTTTTTCCTTTTCACTGCCCTACGCTATGCTTTATATGTAGTTGTTCATTGTCTTTCTTTCCCAACTAGAACGAGGTCGGCAACTATTTTGTGTATGGGGCCAGCTAGTAAGGACTTCAGGTTTGCGGACCATACTGTCTCTGTGGTGACTGCTCATTTCTGCTGTTTTAGTCTGACAGCAGCTGTAGACGATATGTATGAATAGGCAGGTTTTATCAACTTATTTATGGACACTGAAATTTGAATATCATATAATTCTTATGTTTCATGAAATACTATTTGATTTTTTTTCTTCTACCACTTAAAAATTAAAAAAAAAAAACAAAACATTCTTAGCTCACGAGCTAAACAAAAACAGGTAGCGGACTGGGTTTGGCCTGCAAGCTGTAATTTGCCAATCCCTCTCCAGAAAGGCAAAGATTTTTGTTGCTGTTCTTGTGGAGTCTCTAGGACCTAGCGTGGTGCCTGGCTCATGTTAGTATATGTTGATATTTGTTGGATGCATGTTGTTGAACGTGTTCAGGATATATAGAATCGGGTTGTGGGGAACTTTTTAAACTTGTAGTACCTGTAAATCATCATGGTGGACTATGGCAACTGAAAGAAAAAAAGTACCATATTGTATTAAAAACATTTCTTGTCCTATGTGCTTCAATATTTGTGCTTAATGTTGGTTCTTCCCGAGGTTGTTATTACAACTTTCTAGGGAACTGCCCTGAAATAAATTTCTCACGTGGTGCTTTTGGCAGGATGTGGCCTTGTTTGAGATGAATCAATCCGATCCAAAAGAAGAGGACGGTTCAGAAGAGAGTTCGCAAGACAGCTCGGAGGACAGCTCAGAATCTGAGGGAGAAGAAGACGGCACGTCTTCTGAAGTCACTATAGATAACATTAAGCTTCCTCATTCAGAAGGTGGAAAAGGCAAGATCGAGGTTTTGGACAGTCCTGCCAGTAAAAAAAAGAAATAGTAAAATAAATGATCTCAGAAACAGGTGATACATGCCTGCTAGTTCTGCAGAAAATGAATATGGCTTGCTGGTGGTTTTGCATTTCAGGTATCTGTGGTGCTTTTCTGTATTATTAAATGCATTTTGTTCCTCAGAGAAACAAAAGCTACCTTTTAAAGAGGTGGAATAGGTCACATTTGGGGATCTAAGAGCAGACTGTCTGATCTCATGCTGAAGAGATTTCACTTAGAAAACTTAACTTTATGTATGGTGCCGAGTGAATTTGTTGGCATCTTTTTTCTTCTTCATAGACTTGAGAAATAGCAAACTTATTTTAAAGTAAAAATACAAATCATTTGTTTTAAATTTATTCTCTTGAATAAAACAATCTGGGTTGTTTTTTTAGGTCATTATAAAGTCAAATTTATTTGTTAGCATCACAGTGGGTTCAATGGGGGAGAATTTTTTTAAGAGAAAGAAATTTTTTTTTTTTTTTAAAGATTTTATTTATTTTTTTTTAGAGAGCGAGCGGGAGAGAAACAGCAT